TTTGCAAAATTACTAGAAATTTTTTTTTTGGCCTTAATTAAATTGCCTTATTCGAAAAAAATGAAAAAAAAAAAATAAATCAGTGGATTCATGGTCGATCTGAGATATAGTATATGATTTAAAAATTTGACAGTAATAAAATAACCTTTGATCTGGGCACCCACGTTGCTCTGCCAAAAGTCGCAACGCAGGCTAGTTAAAGCCATATTCAGATAAATTTAAATTAAGAAATTTGCATGAACAGAAGTTTTTAAATTAATGTGGTTTAATTTATTTATTAATGTTTATTTAAATAAAAATATTAAAATCCTTTTTTAAATTTAAAACTTTTTAATTACTCCAAATTTAATAATTACTTCATTTTGAAAGAACTCATTTTTAAGAAAAAGTATTAAAGTTAAATAGGGGCAAATATGAAAATTTAGTTTTTAATAGTTGTGTTGATTAGTGATTATTTATTTTCATATGTCCTTAGCTGTAAAGCTGTCAATTAAAAGTGTTATAAATAAATAACATGCCAAAAATATATCATCACTAAAACCCAAAAAGAATGTGATAAATAAAGGTTTAGTTGATAGTATTGGTTTATAACTGTAATTGTAGATTTTTCAATCTTTCAACACCTTAAAAATATATTTAATATTTATTATAATTAATATTTTATATATTTTAAAAATAATAAAAAATCAGAAGCTAAAAGGCTAAAAAGTATTATCAAACTTAGTCAAAATAATCTAAAAGAAGTATGACATTACAACTTGTTAAAAATAACTACCATAGATCAATGACTTGTTGTTTTAAGTGGATAAATTTTAATTTTTTTAAATAAAATTTTGAATTCAAATCTTATAAATAAAAAAATAAGTGTTATAAGATCTTCTTTCTTTATGGGGTCTAATTTGACTTAACTTTGAATTAATGAGAGTTTAATATGATTTGTAAATATTTAAGGGTTAATATAAAAATAAATAACTACCATAGAGTAGTCTTTCAAAAAAAACATTTTAACAATTGAGAATTTAAATTTTTTTATGTTAAAGATTTTAAACATAAATATTAAAATAAATAAAATTAGACTTTCTAACTCAACAATTCGATTTTAAGTTTTAAGTGCTTGAGTGTAACTAATTAAGAGTTCAACTCCAACTAAAACTTTAAAAAAATATCTCCATCCCTCAAATTCTCTCATGTTTAAAAAAGTTAAAATAAATAAAAAAATAATTTCAAGAAAGGTATCCTCAATTTTATAACTTATTATAAATAAATAGAGAAACTACTACGGGGTATAAGAGGTCAATTCCATTTGATTCTTTGCCCCAGACCTCGGTGGCAAATTGATTCATTCACAGTGCTTACAAAATAAAAAATTTTAAACAAAGGTAGAAGAAAATTACAGGAGGGGCTTTTTTGGTACCCAAAAGTCTATGTAGTGCCCATAAGGCAAAAACGTACGGGCACTTCATTTACCATTCCTCTCAACTTATCCGTTGGACTCCATTACCACCCTTCGAAATCAAGGGTGAACTAAACAGTATATCAGTCAGTCTGTATTGGGCAATTAAAACCCCAGAAGAGTCAGAATTACAGAGGGAGTAATTTTTTTTTTTATCACCCAAATTAAATTTTATTAATTTAAGGTACAAAAACACTCTAATCCTCGCCTGTATATGGAGCTGTAGAGGGAGTAATTTAAGAGAGAGAGGTGGGTGAATAGAATAGAAAAAGGAGGAAAAATAAACCAGAGAAAAAATAGAGAGAGAAGGGGAGGGGGGAGGAGAAGGTGCAGAGACAGGGACTAGAGAGAGAGAGAGAGAAACGGAGAAAGACTGAGAAGAGGGAGGGACACTTTATTACCTTTTTTATGATGCACGCATCCATTGCAGAACAGGAGAGGTACAGGAGACTGTTATGACACAAGGGTACAAGAAGGGAACCACTCAAAAACCAGCCCTAACTATTATATAATCAACAATACATATATGAATAATAATAATTAAATTAAAGGGTAAACCAAAGGATGAATTGAAAGTACAGCAATTGCAGAAAGAGAGATTAAGAAGCTCCAATGGAGTTTTTCCAAGATTGAGTAGAAATGAGATATGGAGCTCAAGAGAAAGAGAAAGAGAAGGAATTAGGTCAAGAACAACAAAAGGAGTAATTTTGCTGAAATGGGTCTTCATGCAGAGAGCTATGGTGGGTAGCAATATTGATTATTATTGAGCAAAGAAATTCTTCCCATCTTCCTTTCTTCCTTCAAATCTTTGCTCTGTTTCTGATCTTCCAAAAAAGCTTTTATCTTTTCTTCTTTGGGGATATATACACAAATGCTATTTCAGTTGCAGGTTGAGGGGGCGCTTGAAATTGCAGGGTTCTCTTCGATTTGTCAAAAAGAGAAGGGGATATATCAACTAGAAGCTAATAGCTTTGCTATCCAAGAGCCAACATCTGTTCTTCATATGAGAAGAAGTCCGAGCCCACCCACATCGGCGTCCACTCTTTCTTCCTCTTTCAACGGCGGAGCCCTCACTGACAACACCACCACCACAGCGGCCACAATAGCACCCGACAACAACAACAACAACAACAACAACAACAACGCCATCGAAAGGAAAGAAGAATGGGCATCGGAGCTGCAGCCGATCTCGAGTGGGCTAGAGCTTGTTGCTGGGGTTAGTAGTGGTCAGAGATGCAATATTGGGTTAGAAGATTGGGAGAGCATGTTGTCTGAGTCAGCTGTGCTGCCGACCCAAGACCATTCGCTGCTCCGGTGGATTTCCGGCGACGTTGACGACTCATCCTTTGGTCTGAAACAGCTGCTGCAGAGTGGGAATGGAGGGTTTAATCACGGCCTTGATTTGGAGGGAAATGCTGGATTGGGGATTGTGGACCAGCCTCTGGCATTTGACCCTGTTGGTGGTAACTCTGTTATGGGTCCTGCCGGAAACGTGATTTCCGGCATTGGTGCTAATTTCGGTGGTTTTAATAGTTCAGGGGTTGTGCCCAACAGCATCAATAATGACAGCGGAAAATTGGGCTCGGTTATGCTCAGTTGTTCTTCCACCATGGGTGATAATCATAAGATTCAAAATCCAATCTTTACTTCTCCGGCTAACAATCTTGCCCTTCCTGTTTCTTTGCCTATGCTTTATAATCAGCATCAAGCTCAATTAGTTGAAACCCAAGAGGAGAAACCGCAAATTTTGAATCCCCAGGTCCTCATGGGCCAACAACAGCATCTTCAGAATCCTAATTTGTTCATGCCACTGCCTCAAGAACAGCATCTTCTTCAGCCTCTGTTGAAGCGCCACAATTCTGGAAGCCTAGACATTTCTCCGCAGACCCCAAAACTCCCATTCTCCGATCCTGGGCATGAGTTCTTGCTGCGGAAACAGCAGCAACAGCATATGGGTTTTCCTCAAGGATTCCAGTTTCTTCCTCAACAAAAGCCGATGATGGTATCCAAGCAAAAACTGTTGAGTCCTGGGGAGGAATTGGCTCAACAACAGCAACACCATTTCCAGTTACACCAGCAAGAACAGCAGCACGTGTTGATGGACCAGCTCTATAAGGCAGCAGAACTGGTAGGAACTGGAAATTTCTCACACGCGCAAGGGATATTGGCGCGGCTCAATCAGCAAGTGTCTTCTGTAGGTAAGCCCCTTCACAGGGCTGCTTTCTACTTCAAGGAGGCTTTGCATTTACTTCTTATGAATAACCCAGTTTCCTCCCCGCCTCCAAGGAACCCCTCCCCTTTTGATATCATCTTCAAAATGGGCGCTTACAAAGTTTTCTCTGAGGTCTCTCCTCTTATCCAATTTGTGAATTTTAGCTGCAACCAGGCCATTCTTGAAGCTCTTGATGATGCTAATTTTATTCACATTGTCGACTTTGACATTGGGTTTGGCGCTCAATGGGCTTCCTTTATGCAAGAGCTTCCTATGAGGAGACGAGGTGCTCCTTCATTGAGAATCACTGCCTTTGCTTCTCCTTCGACACATCATCCTGTTGAGCTCGCGCTTATGCGCGAAAATCTTACTCAATTTGCTAATGAAATTGGTCTAAGTTTTGAGCTTGGGGTTATTAACTTGGATTCTTTCGAGCAAACCCCCTTCTCTTTGCCCATTTTGCAGTCTAATGAAAATGAGGCAGTTGCAGTAAATTTTCCAATTTGGTCCTCTTCGAATCAGCCTTCCGCTGCACCCTCTATTCTTCGCATTGTGAGGCAGCTTTCACCCAAAATTGTTGTGTCTTTGGACACTGGGCTCGATAGAAATGATCTCTCATTCCCACAGCATGTAGTTTATGCCTTACAGTCATATACATACTTACTGGAATCGCTTGATGCTGTTAATGTGAATTCTGATGCTTTGAACAAGATTGAGAGGTTTCTTCTTCAGCCTAGGATTGAAAACATCATTTTTGGCCGTGTACGTGCCCCAGAGAAAATGCCACTTTGGAAGACACTATTTACCTCAGCTGGGTTTTCTCCGGTTCCATTTAGTAATTATACTGAAACTCAGGCAGATTGTTTGGTAAAGAGGACTCAAGCTAGAGGATTCCATGTTGAGAAGCGCCAGGCTTCGCTTGTGCTTTGCTGGCAGCATCGGGAGCTTGTCTCAGCTTCAGCCTGGAGGTGCTGAGGGATGGCAATTGACCAAGCAGAGGAGGTTCGTTTTTAAGAACTCACTAAGTATCAAAGTTTACTTGATATTAAGTGAATAAGTATTGAATGATGTTGCTATGACTAGTGAATTCTTATTGTCCTGCTTGCGAGTCTCCTCTGCTTGATGTTTTATGTAGTCTAGGATGGCCAGTATTTCCAGTAAGAAAACATCTTAAGTTCTTACTGGAGTGTCTAGTAGATGCTGAATTGTTTCAGACATGGATATTGCTTTAATCATATTCTGGTCTTTTTCTATGTGAAGAGCTTCATTTTCTTCTGTTAAGGTGATGATGTGTGTTTTATTCTGACAACAAATGAAAACTAGAAACAGAAGCATATCTTAGCTGACTTATTTCCTGTACGAACGCGAAATTGTCTGGCTGTATCTGCCTTTGTTTTTTTAATCCTAATTCCTAGTTTCCTGCTTATTTTGCAATTGCCATATTGAATTTTTTGCCTGTTGACTGTTGTAGATTTAAATTTTAGAACTGGCCTACTTGGCCATAAAAAAGGAAGAAGTGGATAACTCCCTTTGTTGTGGTGAGAAATTTATAATAGTGATGAGATGTTGATGTCATGGAAGTTGAAGGAGACAGTGAGAGTGAAGTAATAATAAGTAGCAAGCATAGAATTGGGTGAAAAATAGTGGTCCAAGGATGAATCAAATTGCTTTTACCCGCCATTTGAATCTGGCAGGCTATATGATTTATTAAGATATTTGTGGAACAGGAAAGTTTCTCATGGAAATGTAGGGATTACTGAAATAACAATCTATTTAAGATTCTCCTTGTTTCACCATGAACAAGCTACGTCTTTGAAGCCTTTAGGTTCTTGTAGATTACTGCCATAAAAGCAAGTTTCTGTCAAAATTTCTTTAGTCTTAGCACCAAGTGTCTAAGCATGTTCTGAAACCTTTCTCAATTTGTTTGTTTAAGTGAACTATGATTTGGCAAATTCTCAATTAGTTTCAGGATTGAGTCATGAAATTATACTCCTTATCAGTAGAATCAGTGTCATTTAGAGCAATGTCGACATACACTGTGTCATAGGTCATTCATAGTTGATGTACTCTTCTTCTTCTTCTTTTTTAAATTTTGAGTTATACAATGGGAGACAATGTTTTTTTATTTTTTTTACCTCACTCCATTCGTATTATTATTTGACTCAAATTTATAATCTCTTACTTTTATTAAAAAGAGATTATACTAAATTACTTAGGCTGTGGACTTATAATTGATGTACTTAAAATGTGGTGAAGACGAGTCATATAGTCCTAAAAACTTCCCAACCTTATATACCCCCTTGTAGAATTGAGAAGGGATGGCGTGCATCCTTTTCTTAGAGAACATCAATGGTGTTTAAATAAAGAAAAAAAAAAAAAATTCTTAGGTGACTCTGAGAAGCAAGTCTAAGAACATGGTGTGCACCCTTGAGACACCTAAAAATAACACAACATTAACAACAACATTGGATAACCATAACATGGTTGTATTGAATTTTGTCGCGGGATCTGTCTTATAATGCCTTTCCTTTTCTCTTGCTTGCTATATATTAATTACATCACCCAACACGTAACGCGTCATTCTTCCTTTCCCCTTTCATTTCTCGAAATTGTTTTTGATTAAATATTAACACTAAACTACAAAACCCTGCTTCTGTCTTGTAGTAAATTGAATTAGCTATTGGTAATTATTTTTAATTTTTCTTTGTTTAGTTATTGGTACATGCTAATCAGCCCACATGTGTCATGTTTGATTCATCACTTCCCTTTCATTAATTTACTCCTTTTTTCTCTCTCACACTTTTTTTCTTGTTGGATTCGTGCAGTTTAATCACATTACATAATATATATGAAAAATTCTATGTACTATTATTTTTTTGAGAATTTGTTTAGGGTACAATAAATATATTTTTTAAATTAATTTATATAAAAAAGTATAAAATTTGATTTATATTTTAATGTTATTAATACATTAATGATTTGAATTAATTAATTAATTTAATTAAAATTAATAATTATAAAAAAAATATTTATATTGCATTCTTAACTTGTGTCCCTAGACGAATGGTCCGATTTAGTCCAATAATATTGGACTTTGGGTTATGACTTTGGGTTAGGGTTATTTACTTTTTGTGGGTGGCGTGTTCGAGTTTTATGGAATTCATTTCTTTCCTTCCCATATATATTTGTAAATAATGTCAAAATTGTTCAAAAAAACAAAACCTTGTGTCTAGGGACACAAGCTAGAAAAATCATTATTTTTATTGTAAAAGTTAGGGGATCAAGAAAATCTTAACGAGGATTAAGATTCAAGAGAACATGCTGAATGAGGACCACGACAAAGACTAATAAAATTGAAGGAGTAAGTCGGTTTCATTCATTTTTCGTAACGAACCCCCATATAAATCCCTGCAAACAACCTCGATTACAGATTTAAGTAGTAGTTTGGTTAATTGCGTTTGCGTACCCGTCAGCTCACCATCATATAAATAAAAATTAGCCTTGGAATATGGTAATTTTATATTATTATTTAGGTTAAGGTATAAGTCTTGAGAAATGTAATTTTGTAAAATTTAAGTTTTAAAATCATTATTTAAAAAATTAATTTTTAGAAATATACTAACTAATGTGGGGTGAAATAAAATTATTTAAAAAAAATTAATTTTAAAATATGTAAAAACTGATAAAAAGCTAATGGAGAGATTGGAGGCAGATTTGAAGATTAATTAAATGGTCTTACTTAAATAAAAAAGCCTAATCTTCCGCTGTCTCCACTGTTTACTTTGGAGTAAGGGTATATTTTTATATTAAACTCTTTATATCCAATAATTTTATTAAATTTTTAATTAATTTAAAATTAAATCACATCAAATTTTATAAAATAAATTTTTTTTAATATTTATTTTTTTATTTATAAAATTAAATTTTAAAATTTTATTTTAAAAATTAAATTTTTTCTATTCGAATCAATAAATTATTAACCAAACAGAGAGCTTTTTTTTCTTCCGTTAAACCCTAAATTTATTTAATTGTGGGGCGAACAACATTAAATTATGCAAGTTAAGGAGCCTTTTTTGGGAAGTTTGGCCTTTATTATTTATTAAATCCAAAAAGAAATTTTATTAAAAATAATAAATGATTACTAGTACCAAGTACCATACGTTTATGCCTTTTATATATATATATAAAAAAAAGGTACAATTCCCCAGGCCCAATCCGACTCGACGTGTGTGTGCAGCCTAGCTGTGAGCCATTTAGAATGGTCCAGGTGATTAGGTGCGCAGGTGGTCCAGCCCAGTTTGATAGCATTAGTAGCATGGCTCTAGACTTCGATTTGCTATTCAGTTTCACCGTTTTGGCCTTTAATGTCAAGAAAACGACGTGCATCTTTGATTTTCTCTTTCCCCTTCCATTAATTTTTTCTATTTTAAAAACCAAAATCTTGTTTTACAATATATAATAAAATAAATTAATTAAATTATAAAATAAAAATATTAATATTAATACTTAATTTTTATTCAACAATTAATATTATATAATTTAATACAAGATTATTAACTTTTTCCTTTAAAACTAAAGATCAAATTTACTAAAGTAAAGTAGTAAAAAACAAAAAAGAAAAAAGTGGTTTTAATTTAGGAAATAGATAATGGTACGGGAGTTATAAAAAGGCAAAACTACGGGTAAGTTGATGGCGACCGGTCCTGTCACATCATGGCGCACTGTAAGAACGACAGCGACATTTGATCTCTCGAGCCACTTTAAAAGTGGGCCCGTTCAGTGAGCCGTCAAAATCAAAAGCCGCAACGTGTAAATGTGTACAGAGTGTGTGTGTATGTATGAACAAACAAAAGATTCAGTTCTTCGATGATCGGATCCCCCCCTGACGTAAATTCGGGGAAAAAAATTATTTTGCCTTTTTCTAAATCAAATTAGTAGGTGGGAGTACAAGAAAATCGTTTAATTTGTTTGGATTTGGACTTTTTTTTTAGTCTGTCTACTGTTTGATGATATGCCTCCTTACGTCTCAATTGCGTTTCTGGCTTACTTAATTGGAGAGGAGGGGGGAGGGAGGAGGGGGGTTGGGGTTTTCGTGGTCCATATATTATGGGCATTTGGGCACTAGTCAAACCTGCCCTAGATAAGGATGGATCATCAGGTCTTTGAAGTTTGAACTTTGAACGGTGGACATAACTCTTAAAGCTACAAGCTTTTTGGTTCAAAACTAAATTCGTCTCATGGAAAGTGTAATGATGGGGTGCTTTAGGTAAGTGGGAAAGTGCTTTTGTCATCAACAAGCCTCCTAGGAGTAAGGGATTTTGGTCGGACAAACAGACATTAACCAGCTTTTGCCTCTTAGACAAAAGCAAAAATTGTGATCGAACACCCAAATTGCTAAATAAAAATGGGTAATATTTGCTTATGTGTTAAAAAGAGACGATGAAGATTGCTTCATTGGCGCGTATAGAAACTGGCTTCCCTTCTTTGTCTTCATCCCCGTCCAATCTTTTCTAGTTTCTTTTCAACTGTTTTAGGCCCCTATTATTTGTTGTGCGTGGAAAAAACGCATTACTTGGGTTTATTTTATGACAAAAACACAAGAGGATGCAATTCGTAGGTAGGTAGGGCCCAATTTCATTTTCTCATTTTTGGGTTCAATTGTCCCATTCTTGGTCCAATTTTTCTTTTTCTCTCAACCATTCAATTCATTGGAGCTTTGGCTCCACAAACCTATTACCTCCACAATTGGTTGGCTTTCAATTTATACGATTTCCTCCTCTCCCCCTTTCTTTTTTTTTTTTTATATATATATATATATATTTCCTCTTTTGTTGTCCTTGACTTGTCCATTTCATCATGTTCTCGTTACCACTAACGTAAATGTCTTTTTTTCCTTTTTTTTTTCTTTTTTAATAATAAAAAGTTAAATGTTTTAAACCTTTTGGACTCGGCCCGTCATACATTGATTGACCAGACCTAAAAGAATCGGGCCCGTAAAGGAAAGTCAAGTCCCATATATATCAAAATGGGCCTCTTATGATGGAGGCCCAGGAAGCCCAGAAAAAGTGTTAACAGTCTCTCTCTCCACAAAACGCGCCTCTTAACCGCCGTTTTTGTTTATCCCCTTCCTCGTCTCCGGCGCTCCGGACTCCAGATTGTTGTGGCGGAGAGGCCAGCGATGGGAACGAGGACGAATTTCTACAAGACTCCTTCCATCTCTTACAAAAAGGACTTGGGTCTCTCCTCCGTTCTTCAGAACCTCAGAGGTATTGTTTCGATCTGGGAATTTCTTTTCCATCGTTGTTTCTGCGACCAAAGGGACTCGTTGAACTCACTTTCTACAATTCGCAGCGTACAATATCGCCATTGGAAATGCTCCTCCGGTCGAAGAACAGTCTCACCTGGACCAGAAAAGCGCGGGCAGGAAGCGACCGCGAGTGCAGAAGCCACCACCTGATCGCAGCCATGAAATTAAAGAGAACGATAGACCCATGTCTCACCAGGATTATATTCAGAAAAGAAGGTGAGTTTAAATTTTGATCTCGGGTTTTGATTCCTTTTTTTAAAAAAAAATGGTTAAATGACTTTGATCTTATTTGTTTTGATGGAATTGTTATTCCATTGCTTTGGCATTGGCAGGGAAGAAGTCAGTTCGTCTCAGGGTTACGAGGAATTGAGCGCTGATGTCTTGGTAATGGGTAATTGAATATTACTTTCTCTTTTTGCTGAAGATTGTTACTTCCTAACTGGAGGAGTTTTGGACTGTGTTTGTGGCAGGATGGTTCTTGCTCGGGTATAAATTTGGTGGGATATGAAAGTACGCGTTCTAATTTCATATACAGTTATTCCAATTATTGAAATTGCTCAATTTTATGCAGATTAGAGTTACCCCCAATCCGAAATACAGTTGAATTTTGGTATTCAGAAGTTAATAAGCTTAATTTGGATAATGCAATTATATACTTTGCGCAAGGTTGAAATTATGCACAAAAATGAAATTAATAGGAGTTAGTTTTGTTAGGGAGATAGTGTAGATAAGGGGTGCAGAGATATCATTTTCGCTCAATACTAAATGACCAGTTGCTATTACGCAGGTGATGATGAAAGTGCTTCTTCAGAATGTAGAGAACATCCAGAGGTTCCAGATTCTGGTTTGCATTTTTTCTCCTTTTTCATCCATCAATTTATTTCTTTTAGTATTTTGGGTTGTTTACATGAGTGAGATTACCTGTTATTTCAGAAATGACTCCATTTCTTAAAAGTGGATTCTGAGCCAAGTACTTGAAACATGGTGTTTATGCTGGTTTTTCCCTATTATTCTTTTAGGTCTCTCGAATGAAGTAGATCAAGTTAAAAGTAGAATTGAGCAACGGTTTCCTCTTCCAGGAGAACCTGTTTGTGTAGTTTGTGGCAGATATGGAGAATATATATGCAATGAAGTGAGAGAAATGAACTTTAAATGTTGATATTTAAAATCCTCTTTATCTTTTGACCAATTTCTATGTTCTTGCTCACTTTGTTGACAGTCTGCTTCTGTTTTATAGACTGATGATGATGTCTGCAGCTCAGAGTGCAAAGCTGATCTTTTGGACAGCCTGAAAATCACTGAGGTGTGTTGTACCTTCAACTTTCTAATATTACTTAAGTTTTTTTGTCTTTTTTCTCCTCCTTTTTTTTTCCCCTCACCTTTCAACCCTTCAATTTGTCATGTTTACAGAAGTCCTTGGGAATCCAGAATGACAATGTCTCCTCTTCTGCACTTACTTCTGTCTTACCAATGCCTGACCTTGCGGAGGACACTTGGGATTATAACCGCCATCGCTGGTCCAAAAAGAGATCTAGCCTTTGTACTTATGAGTGGTATGTTTCTTTGCTGTTCCTAGAATCTCTGTCCAATTAACCAGAGGATTTAGGAGTCCTAGGCATGATCAAATTGTCCTAACAAAGCTGAAAAGAGTGATCCACTAGCCGTTGAACAATTTAACAATGCTGTCAACTGTCCATTTTCTCCTAGCTCATGGAGCATCAGCCACCAGCCAATGATTAATGACCATTTCTTATGGATTTTTGGCCACAAGGATTCTGGCCAACCAAGAAATGTGATCCTGGAAGGATCTCCTGCCAGGCCTGATTTTCTCAAGAGGGATGTCTAAAGATTTGGCTTCAAATGCTTTACTTGGCAGAAACATGTTTATCTTATTAGTTCAGTACCTAATATGCTTATTTCTTCTTCCATTTACTTCTTTTTCTATGAATGTGCCATTATAGTTGGAAATGCCAGAGGCCTGGACACCTTGCTGAGGATTGTGTGGCTACCACAAAGGAGCAGGTTTTCCTTTTATTCTTCACCTACATTAAGAGCTGTCCATTAATGGTCCTTTACATAAATGTATTGTGAAAATATGTTGGCTTATCTGTTTACCCTCACATGTAGGTGGCATTAGGGCAGAGCAAACCTACTTCCATATCCAGAGATCTTCTTGGATTATATAGAAGGTTTTGAAGAAATTTGATTGATATTTCTTGCCTTAATTTACTCTTCGGAAACCAAGAAGTATATTCTTGTTATGTAACTTATGAATGGCATAACTTTCCATACATACACATGGAACTTAATGCTCCATTATCCTTTATCTATTTATTTTATCTCTCTGCAGATGCCATCAGATAGGCAAAAACTTATCAAGTGCAAGTTGTAATGCATGCCATAGCTCTATAAGCTTGGCATCATGTCTTGATTGTGGTAAAATCTTCTGTGACAGGTAAGGAAGAAAACTTGCATCTTTTAATGCAAATATCATTCCAGCTGTTATAGGGCAATGTGTAAGTGAATGGGTGTAGGCAGTGGTTGGTTAAAATTTTCATTCTCTGCTTCAATGGGCAAAAAAATATACATATCTTTTGATATTTCTTCATGCCTCCTCTGAAATTGAAAAGGATATTTCTTTGTGATCTCTCTTCTTGGATGTCCTGAACTACAGTGCTGGTCATTTGAATGAGCATATCAAGACAAACCCATCTCATGAACAATATTACTCACATAAACTCAAGCGACTGGTAAGTAAGAATACTCTTCTCTTTGCCACATATTTAAGATTTGAGTAAGGATTCACTTACATATAAGTCTTACGCATTATATTTACACAAAATCCCAACCATTCATCTTTTTACTTTCAATGGTTGAGATTATGAATGGTTGAGATTTATTCACATATTCACATATCTTAAAAATTATATTTTTTTCACTTAAAAAGTGATGATAAATCTCAACCATTGAAAGTGGACAAATGAAGGGTGAAGATTTTGTATAAGTATGGTGTGTAAGACTTGTGTGTAAGTAGATCCCTCCTCTTAAGATTTACTTAATGAAAAGCTGCTGCATCTCTTTGAATTTTTGTTTTAATTTAGTTAAACAAAATCAACCTGAATTCAGGCCATGTCTTTAATGTTGGCTTGTAAACATTGTAGGTGAAATGCTGTAAATCAACATGCAAGGTGACCAACATCAAGGATCTTTTGGTTTGCCATTACTGCTTCGATAAAGCCTTTGACAAGTTTTATGATATGTACACTGCGACCTGGTTTGTGATCTCTTTGACTTCAACAGTTCTTTGTCTTCTTATTCCTACTATGCTGTCAATTTGAACATGGTCCTAGACAAACTTCTTTTTATCCAATCCATTGTTTTAATTCGACCTTTGCCAACTGCAGGAAAGTTGCTGGACTCTCAATAGTTTGCGGCTCCATTTGCTGTGAAGATCACTTTGCTTGGTATGTTGGGCAAAATCAGTTCCATTTTTTTGTTTTTTGTTTTCTTTCCTGCTCCCATACCCATTTCATCTCTTGTTCAGGACAGGCACAGGATGAATTGCTTGAATGCAGATGTAGAAGACGCAGCATTTATCATTAGTAGAAGAAACACCCAGAGAAACAACCGGATTAAACTTAGTGACTTCATTTTCTAACGGAGCATTGGACACAAACTACTACTTTGTGAATTTATTGTACCTCTTCACATCCCTGGCAAAACACAAGACATTGAAGATGAAGATTGCCTCAATGGAACATCTATAGCTGCAAAATCCTTGATAAACGAGGGCAATGTTGCTGCCTAAGCATGAATTTATGTACATTATCAGATTGCACTGCATGATGTAGGTGTAGAAAGTAAACTTTGTGGTCAATTGATTGCAAATGGTAATTATAAAGTGAAAATTCAAAGGGAAATGAAAAGCTTCCATGAAAAAAATATGAAACCATACCCCATCTAATGTGTTTGTAGTTTTTGGCTGACTAAAAATTCGATCTTTTAGGGACCCATAAGAAAATAATTTTATTTTTTTATATATTTAATAATAATAATTTTTTTTTAACAAATTCACATGAAACCGGATTCGAACTGTTATCTTGAGCAGAAGAATGCATTTATATGTGACCTGATGTCACTGAATCCAAAGGCTCAAATACATATACTTAATAATAAATTATATAACAGAGAATAGTAAGAAATGTATTCAATAAGCTTACAAAAGGAAAATAACTGCCTAGAAAATTTCGTAATTACTTACAAATAATTGCTTACAAATGTATGTGAATTACATGTACGGAAATGTCAAAATAAGGCATGCATTCAAGAAGCTGCCCGTTAATAAATAAATATTGGGGGATTTAAAAACCGCGTGACGGGTCAGTATGTCAAAAGTCCGGCCCGATCCAGGCCACCCGGGGACCCTATTTATTTGAAAATTTAAAAAAAAAAAAAAAGTTTCTTTCTATATCCTAGGATTATTTTACTTTTTCCGTTGACAACGCCCATCGAAGGGGAGCAGAGTCTTGGTTTGGGGCGGTGATCGATTCGCAGGAAGAAAGGAGGCAATTTCAATTGCTTGGAGTAAAGGTAACTACTGATTCCTTTAAATTCACTCTATCAACTGTCTGAATTCGTACAATAATTCTTAGATCAAAACCCTAATCTTCAATTTATTGTTATACATGGATCTGATTTTTCAAAACCCGAAACCTAGTTGTAATAAAATTCTATTTCATACTTAATTTGGAGTTCCCAACTTGATGCGTCATATATTGTCATATATTATTGAAACTTAAGTTCCAATCTTAATAAATTTTAACTCTAATAATTATTTTATAATATTTAATTTTTTATATCTTTTATCTTAAGTTCCATTTTTTTTTTCCTACTTATTTGAAGTTAAAGGCATTAAGGAAGCATGACGCTGGTCTGGCGGGCGGTACTTGCCGTTTTAGTTCTCAGTATTGCTGCTATTCTGGTCCTGATTATGAATAATCATGAGTTTTCTTTTAGTCACCCTCTTATGGTCTTCACAGTGTTCAATACCATTATTGTTGCTTCAATAATCGGAAGCCGTAAGTTGCCTGTGCATGTAACCGCGAGAGACTTGCCAT